TCCTAAAGTAAACACTTCGATAAACCCCCACGAAAGAGGGTAGGGGGATAATGAAGGGCCCCTGTAGAATGAAGTGGCAGTCGATTTGCAAGACACAAGATATTGAAGCAATTTTATACAACTGTTATGGTTAATAGATCTAATTTCGGTAAGTCAAATTCTTCCTGATGAAGTCAAGCTTGAAGTCGACTTGCCTGTTGTTGAAGGGAAGAAGATCGGTTTTTTTAAGTTATTTCACATAGCGTTTCAGAAAAATTCAAGTAATAAAGTCATAGGCTTTATTTCTTTTTGGCTATGTCGCACGCTGTCTTACAAAGTCTTTAAGCGAAGTTTCACTGGTTGATGTTGCACACTTATATTTCACACTCAGGTTGCTTATTCATTTTCAATATGTAAATCATAACCTTAACTTTATTAAAATACTGCGAAAATTTGCATATGAAAATATAGGCGAGGAATCTCACACTTTGCCATCATTAACTGTGTGGCAATTGTATTACATGCTTATCGTCGGCTGGCAGTTAAAGGATTGGTTTTTTTTGGGTAAAATAATTGTAACATTTTGTATTGGTACGAAAATTTGCCTCCGTTAATACTGGAACAAAAACCATTTACCCCTAACTTAAGCCTAAACCCAAATCAAAACTTAACCCAAGCCCACACACAGACCCTGAACTTAACCCAAACACACACCCATACACCCATAATGGTTGAGTTGGGGTTGTGGTTGTGGTTGTGGTATTGTTCAGGTTGGTAATAAATTTACGAGTACTGCCTTGGTTTTCAAAAATCTAAATGGTATTTGTTAAGTGATTGTTTTTTACTTGATTGGTTCGAATTTGGCCATGTATCTACTCTCTAGTCTATGGCTAATTGAAGACAAACACTAAGTCAACCAAAAGTAGAGGTATTATAAAGAAGTAAAGGACACTTATCTGATTAATTTAGCGATACTTGTATTCCACGTGCTTAGCGACTGATCTTGGAGACTTATCAACAAAAAACAATGAGATTTTTTCAACCAATTTGTTAAAGTAAATTAACTGCCGTGGGTGGAAAAAAATTCTCCAATAAACACTAAAAATCACGCACGGTTTAACAAGCAAAAGTAACAACTGGCTGAAAGCCTGCTACCGCTCATAGAAAAAATCTACATAACAGAAACAACTTTAATTTATGTACATACCCTCTCGCAAGATATCCAGCACCTCCTAACTCAGAAGGGGATCTTGGTTCTTAACCACCTGTTTCTGTCTTTGTATGGTAAAATTTAGGAGCACATTCTGTTGTGACCCTGCCCAGTCATACACCTCCTTTCATTTAAAGAAAGAAATTTCTTTCAAAAAAAGGTCTTTAATACGAAGTGTGACTAGGAAAGAGACAAAATAGCCTGCAGTGGGCGGGTGCTCCTTTCCTTTGGAAAGTGGGTTGCCTTCTTAACTAGAATTAGTGGTATGAAGCTGGCTTTTCTTGTCATGTATTGAGATGAAGAGGATTACAGATATTTGGTTAACCTGTAAATCAATACAACTCAGTTTTATTTCCTCTGATCAAGAAATATTTATCAAAGAAAAGAGGAAATTAATACTTGCAAGTAAGTGACTATGTAGATATATAAAATATCTATACATCTTGAATAAAATTTATTTTCATAAATCCTTAGAAGAGAGAGATAGAAACACTGTGTTTATCATTCCAATAATTGATCTTAAAGGATATTCATCTTAACTACTCATACACAAGTTATTGTAAATACCTGGAAAAGGGCAGTTGCCTTGAATTTGCATTTCAGTCGGTACTGCCACACGGTAGGATTATCGTTATGCCCTCTTTGTCCTCATGCAGTACCCACTGACCCCCTACCTCTCACCTATCAAGTTAAAAGGGAAAAATATTTCTTATGTTTTGTTATGTTGAACTCCCCAGACTTCATTCCAAGCAGAAAGAAGGGGGGAATTAAAACACCAAAGAGATCTGTTGGCCAGAAAATAACTGCAGCAATTATCCAGTGATTCTGAAAGGTTGCCTTTACAAGTATTACAGGGGGGCTATCTACAGAGTCATTACTTTGATTTCAATATTCTCTATTCGTGAGGATGTACACTTTTACCTAATTTTATTGAAGGACTTTTTTCTTTCTTTTATCCACTGATTGGTAGTATGTAGGCAATATAGGAAATTATTGTTTTCAAGACATGTCATAAGAAGTTTTTCCCTACTCATTACCAATGCACAACATTGTAAGATTTGATTAGCAGATTGGGTTAACCCTTTCACTCTCAAGATCTTATTAGTAATTCTCCTTACTATCTGCCATACAATTCTTAAGATGTTAGTTCAGAGAATTTGGTATTGGATCAACTTATAATCCCATGATTGATATTTGTCTCTATTCTCATCACCTGCCTGCTCGATATTGTATTGATATTGTAAGGAGAAATTCTGTCTTGGTCACTAGTGGGAGTGAAAGGGTCAACACTCCAGGACATACTTCTCCATGTTCATTGGCCTGACTTTTCTGTCGACATAAACTTATACTTTCACATTCATTAATATCAAAACATTATGAATTGGCTTAAATGGGGTGTAGCATATTGTGGAGATATGTTTGAGACATGTTAGAGATATGTAATATTATACTATTCACCTCCATGTCTATCCTAATGGTTTGATCCTCCTTGTCATTGTGGACTTTCACTCTCTTGCTGACAGAAAAATATTTGTTGAAGTATTACCGGTATTTCCCTTAATTTGATTGTTTTGTTAAATGGAAATTAAGAATATAGAACAATTGAAAATGTACATGTATGGAACCTTCCACACATACCTTATATTTCCTCAGGCTATAATAGTCAATACAAACCTCATCAAAGGTGAGATTTAAAAAAACTTGTAGGGGCTCCAACCTAGCATAGTTGTCATAAAGCTCCCTCTCACATAGGAGCACCTCCTCCACCCTGTCTAGTCTTTTTAATGTAACTTCAATTTCTCTATGAACACTTTGACTCAAATCTACAACTTAAGGGCACAGTGGATTTTCTGATCAGGCTAATGGATTCTTACTGTTACTTTCCTAATGGATAGGCAGTTTTTTTAAGATTCATTCAAATTACAACATTTTGGGCCAGTAAAAATGACTCAAGGGCTAGTACATGCTAGTCACAGCTTGCCCTTCAGGGCGAGCAGTAATGCTTACTCTCTTTCCAATCTGAACTTCCCAAAAAAGAACGAAGCCTAGCAAGCTATTGTAAAACCTGTGTTGAAGAAATCCTGTCTGTTTAGGGCTTTCACCCTACTATTTATGTGTCTCCTTAGAAATGCAACATGTACTGTTAGTCTAGGTTTAAACAAGTAAGTTGTCTCCAAGTGATTATAATTTGATAGTTTTTTTAATACATTTGGTTCCATTTTTGTGAAAATCATGTTGGGAAACACAGTTTTTTCACCCCTTGTGTGTATCCTATATACCTTTCCAATTAACGGTACCTTTTCCATGGTTTTGACAAACAGCTTCCACTAAGCTGAGGTCTTCTTAAAGGACACCAGCTACATTTAAATGTTTTCCCATTAAAACATATTGATGTATTGTACACGAAATAATTGTCACCATACAGACAGTGCAGCAATCAATGAGAGTAAAGATGATATACCAATAAAAATTAACGTATTTATACTAATCCACAAATAAAGTCTGATGGTCAATAAGGCATACATATCTAATGATGGTACAATTTAGAACAAGTGGGTTATTGTATCAACTGTTGATACCTTGGGGTTGGTCATCTGCAATCCTACAATTTCAGGCAAATCATTATCTTTTAAATGCATGCACATCAGTGCAAATAAAAATTGCTACTGACAGTTAAACAAGGAAACAATCACAACCATGACAGGTTGTTTAGTTTGATGTCATGTTTCAGTTAGGGATGTTTAAACAAGTTCTTGTTATCAGACCATGAGTATCATAGTTTTCATGAATCATTGATGACCTAGAATATGGTAGAGGATTAAATTTAACCAGCTACAGCCTCAAGATGTATACACCCACTTACCTTCATGCATGAATTGCTGCAGTTGGCTATATTCTCTCATGATAATAAACATAAATATTGTTAAGGTGTGTGCTGGATATCACTAATTAAAGAACTGCCATTCAAATCAACTGTGCATGTATTTCTTCAGTACTGTTGTTTGTTTTGTCCCATGTAGTGTATGTAAAGAAAAATTACTTAACTCCAATTTCTGAAGTGGATGAAGCAGTGGATTGGGCTGATGAAAGGGTCTGGTTTGATTGGGTTGATGGAAGGCTGAGGTTAGGTTGGGCCAGTGGAAGGGTGGGGTTGGAGTTGGGGTTGGGTTAAGCTAGTGGAGGAGCAAAGCTGGGTTGGGATGATTGAGGAGTGGGGTTAGGTTGGGCAAATGGCAGGGTGGAGTTAGGTTGGGCCAGTGGAGGAGTGGGGTTAGTTGGGACTAGTGGAGGATTGGGGTTAGGATGGGAAAGTGGAATGATGGGGTTAGGTTAGGCTAGTGGAGGGGTGGGGTTAAATTGGGCTAGTGGAGGAGCAGGGTTCGTTAGGGCTAACGGAGGATTGGGGTTAGGTTGGGCAAGTGGAATGGTGGGGTTAGGTTGGGTTAATGGAGGAGTGGGGTTAGTTTGGGCAAGTGGAATGGTAGGGTTAGGTTGGGTTAGTGAAGGAGTGGGGTTAGTTTGGGCAAGCGGAATGGTGGGGTTAGGTTAGGATAGTGGAGGAGTGGGGTTAGTTTGGGTTAGTGGAGGAGTGGGGCTAGTTTAGGCTAGTGGAGGAATGGGATTAGGTTGGGTTGATGAAGGGGTTGGAGTTGATACCGTGGATGTCAAGGTATTTGAGGCTGAAAACATGAATGCAAGTTGAATGGTGGGGTTAGGTTGGGTTAATGGAGGAGTGGGGTTAGTTTGGGAAAGTGGAATGGCAGGGTTAGGTTGGGTTAGTGAAGGAGTGGGGTTAGTTTGGGCAAGTGGAATGGTGGGGTTAGGTTGGGCTAGTGGAGGGGTGGGGTTAGTTTGGGCCGGTGGAAGAGTGGGGTTAAATAGGGCTAGTGTAGGAGCGGGGTTCATGAGGGCTAGTGGAGGATTGGGGTTAGGTTGGGCAAGTGGAATGGTGGGGTTAGGTTGGGTTAATGTAGGAGTGGGGTTAGTTTGGGCAAGTGGAATGGTGGGGTTAGGGTGGGCTGGTGGAGGAGAGGGGTTAGTTTGGGCTAATGGAGGAATGGGATTAGGTCGGGTCGATAAAAGGATTGGAGTTGATACCGTGTATGTCAAGGTATTTGAGGCTGAATCAAGAATGAGATTCTTGTCACAAGGGGTCAATCACATATTGCTACTAGGGGATATTTTTCTTATTATAATTGTGAATTTCTGTCTGGTAGCCTTCAACATGGTTGTTGATTGCTTCAATAGTTTACATAAATAGAAACATGTTTTCTTTTAAAGTTTAATTTTTTTGATGGTGATAGAGTTAAGAACAGTGCACAAATGCAACTTACTAAAAATTCACAGCAGCAAGAAAACATCTACACTGGTTTGCCTGGGGGCTCTTATATATTGGTAACCAGTAAAGTATTTTGAGATTTGGGATATAAAATGTAGATGGGCTTTAAACTCTACAATTGGCCAATTTTGGTGATATGTGTCAACAGTAAGGAACTATTACATGTGACAAAAAAAAAGTTTGGAAGTGGGGAAAAGACAACTTCCATGGCATGAAGTGGAGGACATGAGACCAAAAAGTTTCAGTGGAATGAAGAGGACTGAGAAAGAAAGACATTATGCTAATAATCTTATGTAATAAAAAGCTAAGTCACTAACCTGGATTTGTAAGCCACAGGGAAATTTTCTTTTTCCTTGATCATCCAAATAATTCCATCAGCTTGACACCATCTTGGAGGGCAGTCACAACCTTTGACATGGCATGTCCTCTGAAGTATGATGCAAATAACTCTAACCTGGTGTAAGGAAATATTAGGGATTGGTATCACCATATCATAACAATTTATCATATTGTAATTTTCAATAGTAGTCCCTCACTTTACTGAAAATTTTCTTAAACATTGCACTTGCAGAAATTACACATAGTTAGCATTTGCCTAAGAAAGGTAAAGACACTAGAGCTTACTGTCATCATAGGGGCCAATATTCTCTAATTCTAGATCTAAATTGGTAATTCTCCTTACTGTCAATCGTACAACTCTCATAATATTAGTTCAGAGAACTAAGTATTCGATCAACTACCGGCCGATAACCCGCAGGTAATCTGTTAATTTTTCCAAAAACAGTTGTTGGTGCGGGTTATAGGAAGGTGCGGGTAATAAAATAATTTTGAAAGCTTCCAGTGTAGTTAGAAACGATAAACAGGAAAAAAAAACAGGTGATAAGATACACTACAAATACTCTTAGAAAAACTTGTGCAATAACTCATTTATTTCGAGCAGATTGCTCACTATAATAAGAGACTTTATTGCTCTCGATGAAAACCGATGCAAATCGAAAACGTACAAAACATAGCTATATCGAAAACATGCATAACATAGCTTTTATCTTGTTCGTACTCCTACTTTCTTACCTTGTCAATTTCACAGCTTGTTTCTTTGTTTAGTTAAAAAAAACAAGTCTCACCTACACGGTAGGTGAACTTGAAAATAAAAGAATTCAACTACTGTAAAAAGGCTGGCTTCAGGGCAATTCACACGGTAAATGATGCCGACATGTTTATTTCGTGGCGCCGTATAATAAATTAGCGCAACAGAATATTCGACGCATCAGAGGAATTTCCCTAGCTAGCACCGCCTTGAGATAAAGAGTATTTCCCGTTTCAAGCGATTTCTCCGATCCAGTAGATCTCGTGCTATCGATTTTTCAAAGAACAGATTTAAACAATTGGTATCATTCTCAACGAAACAGCGAAGACAAAAAGTGTGAAACTTTTTTAATTGCACGCTAAAGGATATTATGTCAACAAAAACAATGAGGGAACTTTGCTGGAGTCGACGATTTTCTTTTGCTTTTGGGTGCGGGTTATCTGCCAGTGCGGGTAATCTGTTGAAATTTTTTCTCGTTACTGCAAAAATTGACCAATGCAGGTAATCTGCCGCGCGGGTAATTGGACGGAAATTACGGTAATTATCCCCAATTTGATATTTTTCTTTATTCATGTCTCTTGTCTGGTTGATATTGTATTGTTATTGTAAGGAGAAATTCTGTCCTGGTCACTCATGGGAGTTTAGGGAGTTTAATTCGGAGACCAGTGTGAAGTTTACATTTTATCTGAGAGGGTAACAAATATGTGGATAATTTGTTCTTTTCCTCCTGGAAAAAGTTTGGCTTTCACTCTTCCAACCTCTTCATCAAAGGTTATGATAACAGTATGAAAAAGCAATTTAAGAATAACTGGTTTTTTCCATTGATTATGCAAGCATTGAAATAGCTGAGTAAGCGCGTTTCCTAGCAGAGTACATCCGGCGTTCTATGGTATCAGAGAAAGAAAATTAGGGCACTAACGAAAATAGCGTACAAACTATTCCAGCTATCCCTTTAAAGATCTACATTTTCGCGGAGTCTAATAAGGAATAATGTGGGTCATTAAATTTACTTTTAAAATTTTGATCGTTAAGCGGAAAAGGAGCTTTCCTTTTTAAACGTCTGGACGGTTGAAAAGATTCGTTTCTTAGATGTTCGTTTTTTTATTGGAAACGTGGTCTTCACATATTTAACTCAAAAAGGGTTTCTGCTATTCGTGCGTTAACGCTCCGCACCAGAGCTTTTGGAGCAAAGTGTTAAAGAGCTTTTTCTTTTTGGGTGTCATCTCCAAATTTCGCGAAAATAGACCGAAAGTCAGCCAAAATTGAAATCCTTAAAGTTTAAAACGCAAGTTAAAAAGTGATTATGCGAGAAAAAGTGACTAGACGTATCATCAATCCCGCACGTCCCTTCTGCTCTCAAATTGTTGATTGCTTTGTGTCTACCGAAGTAAATGAGGCACTAAAATATAGCTTTCAGAGGTTAAGAGATTTTTAGTTTTGTTTTGTTTTGTTTTTTTTTTTTCTCATATCTAAACATGAAATTTGCGTCGTTTTAGGACTACATTTGATTTTGGTTCACCACCGCGTCGATTGCAAAATTAGGCGTACAAGACACCCGCTGGGCTGAGTGGTGGACGGTGTTCCTTCGACGTTTTCGCATCGGAACTTTCAGACGAAATGGTAAAGTTTTCTCCAGAGTTAAAAATTATTTGCCGGGCTCGCAGCGTTGAAGGTCTAGTAAAGGTTTAAGTCTACTTTTTAACTTCCCGTCCTATGTTGCTCTCTGGTTTGTACGCCAGCGACGCGAATAATGTTCAGTCTAAGGTCAATTGAACCGTGGAACTAGAGGTGTCAAGGTGTCATTAGCAATTAGATGGCAAAGTAGAGTCCAATTCCACTTGAACAATTTAAATCAACTTAATCTAATTTTTTGTCGTATGGAATATGTTAGACAATCATCAGTAAGCGTCATCAACTCACTAGAAACTTCATATAGCGACTTAGTTTGAAGTAACTTACACCTTAAAGCGAAATGATTCAGAAGAAGCGAGTGACGAGAGAAACAAGACTCACCCACTGAAGTCTTCTCCTTTTGTAAAGGTAATGTCCATCACCCGCCTGGCGTTTATAACCCGACTCATTTCTGCGTTCCCAGGAACAGCAGCCCTCTTCCTTTCCAATAACACCACGGCCCTCTGAAAAGCACGTTTGCTGTAGATCATAATGTAACTTTAGAGTGTGTAAAGACTGCAGCTGCATGCTCTTACTGAATCGTTGAAAGAACCCCAACGAACATGAAAACTGAAGCCCTCTATTGTTCGGTTGATCAATTACTAACTAGGTAACTATTCATTAACAATTTTCTTACCTTTACGTTTACATAAATCAACAACGAAACTATGAAATCAAATCTTAGCGCAGCGGATTTCAATCATAGAAAAGGCGGACAGAAGACACCCCTAATACAAAAACACTCGCTTAAATTACCCAGCGTAAATCTGTCACTAATATGTAAGTTGAGACGGCGCGCGATCACATCTATATTCGACAATTCAAAATAATTAATTAAGTACAGACATAATATAGACTCACCAATCTGTAGTTTTTAAGTCCATTTTGGTCGATGTAAAAAAGAAAGAAAACATTTAAGCGTCCTGGCAGTCGTTAATCCTTGATCCCAAACGATCGCCCTTCGCGCACGAAAACAAACCCCACCACATCCTCCCAGTGAACGCTAGCTACGCCACTGGGTTAAGGAGTGTCACAACAACAACTCCAGAGGTGTGAAAGGGCGTCAATACGCATTAATGGAAATATGTTTTACCAACCCAGAACAAAGCTGGAGAGGTTTGTATAAGTAGTAGTGTTTTATCAGAATTCTTTCAACAAGAATGTAATGTCTTTACGTGAGTATACGGCCTTAGAGCGAGGTCTTGTATCAAATGTAATCCACTGGCTACAGAACAGGAATCTTCCAGCCAATCCACTTCGCTGAAAGAAAGAAACGATGGCTACATGGACGGTTTTCACCGGTGAGCCAACAAAACTTCACTTAAAATAGACTATTTGGAACAGAACGGATTGAAGAAGTAACTTTATTAGCATAAGCGACATCGGAATAGGCGTTCGTTTCGGGGTAAAATTAAAAGTGTTGCGGCACCAATGACCAAACATCTCGAAACAAGTAAAAATTCGCGGATTCAGTAATATATGTTTACGCTTACTGGTGGTAACTTTCTTATCGTGCGCGTGGAAGAGTGTTTCAACTTTTCATTTGCAGTCTCCTCTCCTAGAGACTGCACATTTTTTCCACTGACCTAGTTATTTGAGTTTACTGGCATTTTCATACAAAAAAGCCACGGGGAGGGGGGGAATGAAAGGTCACTTTCTTACGATAGCTAGAAAGAACCAACTCATTTTTCGTGCTACGGATCTGCTAAACTTTTCCAGTGCGGACGTTCTCCTTTTTCCGTTTATCGTTCAGGAACGCGGCACACAAGAGAGACGGAGCAATTTTTTTTAAACCAAAAGCTAAATAGGTCCTCCTGGTAAGTATAGCTCATTTCAAACAAATTTTGCCCCCCGGATGAATATGTTACAAGCAGTTTTTCTTCAGTGACCTCGCATTTCTAAAAGAACGTTTCCTCCTTTCTGTCTTCCTTTCTTTGCAAAAACTATTTCCAAATTTTTTTTCTGTCAAGTTAAAGTTGGAGCAAGTAATTATATCACGGTTTAATAGTTCAATTCTGATGTGGTTGAATAAAACTAACTATGGCTCTTGGTTTCTCTAGCCGAAATCAATGGAATAAAACATGTTCACAATTCCCTCGCAAAGTGTTTTCTTGATTTTTCCTTTTTTTCTTTTTGGATAGGCGCAAAATTGTTTGAGACCATCTCACTACAAAGAAAAGATACCTTATGACAAAATGGACTAAAAAATAAAGCTATTACATGTGATAATTGGATTGATAAACAAGGGCAAAATCCAAAATGGACTAAAAAGCTACGAATTGATTGGTCGTGCTTTTTTTTTTATTACGCCTGTAAGTGGCGTGCAAGTCATTCGGATCATTAGAACCATTTAAAACTTTTCAAAGTTGTAAGAAACTCTTTCTTTTCTACATCGCACAGGCGCTGCAGTGGATGCAGGAAGAAAAGAAGTCTGCGGTCCAACAGCTTCTTCGAGGAGTTCCCAAGAGTGCCTTTTGGTAAATTACTATTCACAATCTACTTTTTTTTCCGCCGAGGACTCTCAGCGAAAAATTTCTAATTTTTGAGGTGGCTACAGGATGTCTGCTCTAGAGATCTCCAGAAGAAGGCCAATCACGCCCTTTGAAGGACCCGGAACTGTGCGACGATTTGATTCGATTCGAGCTCGATTACAAGGGTTGTGACTCAAGTTCGAGTCACTTATATCGAGCTCGGTTACCCAGGAACAAATATTGATCTTTCGAGATTTATAATTTCGGGTAGGCTTTCGAGCTCGAGTCATCTATATAGAGCTCGGTTTCCCAGGAACAAATATTGATCCGTAATTTCAAAAGCCTTCCTAAATGAAACAAACGAGGATGGATAACCAAGTAACACGAAATTCGGCCTTTAAGAACTGTCCTTCCCAGGAACTTGCAATTGGCTATTAAGAGCAGCCTTCAAATACCATCTGTGTAGAAGGTGCGCTTCGAAGCTCGAAAGAGTAAAATAATCAGTCCAGCTCATTGAAAGGATCGTAAATTGTATGGAAGCTCATCTCAATGTCGTCAAAGACCTTTAAATAAAATGGATTAAATTCA